TATAGGGGCACACCTTTTCAGGGAACATATTTTCAAATATTTCTGTTTTGCTTCAATCGAACGAAGACTCAGGGAAAGCTGTAACATGGCAAGATTGTGACTGGTGAAGCACTCAGCTCAAATGACAAATGACAAAATAATTTTTGGGGACTTTTTTTGAGGGCGCAACGTTTTCAAAGAATTTTAAATATCCTAGCAAATCTGGCAGAAATCTAAAAATTTTAGCTGGCGCACGCATAACGGACGTGATGTTGATATAAGGAATAATTTAACTTTTGTTGAGCCTCTCTCAGAGGACAGCTTTTGGGCTTTTCCAAATATATTTCTTACCGCCACCAAATAGGGGAAACGTATAAGGTTAAAAATGTGTGGCATGGAGTTCCTTGAGTCTATATTTCAGAAAAAAAATTTTTGTTAAAAAAAATCAGGACATTTTTTTAAGTCCCATTTTCGTGAATTATTTTTTGATTCAACGAAACAGAAACAGGAAATTTAAAACTCCCTCAGAAGTACCGGTTTGATTGATGAGTACAGGAAAAATCACACTTTTGAAATATGCACCCTTAGCGTAGATTTCAGTAGGGAAGTATATGAAAATGTGTTCTCCACCCTTACAAAAAAGGTACACATAAGGATGTCATTGAGAGATGCCATAGTACGCCACTGTTTCGGTTTTGTAGTGGTAGCACATCTGACCGATATTTAGAAGTCCTGGCTTCAGTTCCCGCCATTCCAAGCCTTTATTTGGCTTCTCTTACACTTCCATGTCCCGTTGCTTGAATAAAACGGAGTGACATGGAAAGCTGAAACTTGGCATCAATGTGACTACCAAAAAAAGGAGTTAAATAAAAATGTCTAAACCTTAAAAAAAACCCATCGGGGCACTTTTTTCAGTCCCTTTTCCTGAATTTTTTTTTATCAACGAAACAGAGACAGAAAATATAAACTTCCCTCAGAAGTACCTGTTTAATGGCTGAGTACAGGAAAAATCCTATTTTTGAAATATGTTCCATTAGCGTAGATTATAACTGAGAAGTATTAAAAAAATGCGTTTTAAACCCTTACAAAATGGGACACATGAAAAGATTGAATTGATAGAATGATTGAATTGAAGAAAAGATAAATTGAAAGTTAGAAATTCGTACCCCTAGGGCATGTACCTCCAAAGTGGGATTTTTTCTGAACTCTGCATCCCAAAAGGTACTTGTGTACTAAGTTTCAGATTTCTAACTTCTCTTGAACATGGTTAGAATTAGAGTCTGTCAGTCAGTCAGTCACGATCGTCCATATATATTAGATGAGCTTTGATAAATGACATCGGCGCGCCCATTTAGCATTACCGATTCGCCTCTAAGATTTCACAAAAATTTATTTTTTCGCCTTTGTTGACACAGTAGGGAGTTTTGGTTACCCGTTCTTGAGAGGACGAAGAGGAATGTAGGACGGCTGACGTCACCAGCAGTTATAAAACGTGTGAAGAAGGCGTCTAAGACGGGGAGTGGCTTTTCCAGCCGTTCTCCCAAGAACGTGATAGCAAGGCAAGATCTACCAATCAGGAACGTACATCGACTGATTCGTTTAAGACAGTCATCACTTGGACAGCGGATGATTCGCTGCTCTGCTGAAAGTGGCACCAAATCTAATCACGTTGTTTGGCGTTGTTTTGCTTCAAATTCCTAAATCCCTCATTACTTAAACATGTCTTTGACGTTACTATCAATGGATTCCGCACCTATTCATGACATGTTTTTGTGGAAATTAGGATCTCATATCGAGTTCCTGCGGAAGTCCACAGGTTGTCTCGCCATGATTAATGGCATCAGAGAAGGTATTTCGCTTCTGTGTAAAAGATTATGTGTTTCTCTTAAGAAATGTTATTGAACAAGATCCTTTTGGTGAAAAACCCAAGACAGAAAAGAGGATGGCCATTGGGACAGCATTCCCATAATGCTTAAGGCCATGATGATGCCAGTATACGGGAGTGGAGAGGGAGCATACCATGCTCCTCATTAATCAATTGAGCAAAGAGGACAGAGAAAATGCGCGAAAGTCACGGACAGGCGAAGAATCCAATGAATGCTGCCAACTTCTGCAAGAGGTCAAAGACCTTAGTATGACTGGGCAATGCTTAATGGCATTCCTGAAATGTAAAAAAATATTATTAAGGCCGATAAGAAGAATGAAGCTACAGAACAAATTGGCTCAAGAGCCCTGGGTGGCTTTGTCAACACTCTAACCTAAAGTTCTTTTCCTCAGTATAACACGAAAGTATTATACAAGTTATTTTAAGTATTGGATTGAGGTCTGTCGACTCTGCTAGCCATTCTAAGACTTCAACTCCGTGGTCGTGGAACCATTGGCGAGCCAGTCGCGATATGTGTTTCAGATCATTGTCCTGCCGTAGCACATCCTCTCCCACTTTGAGCTGTTAATACTCGATTGTCGGGAGTAATTCGTCCGTGAGGATGCTTGTACACGGCTTTACATCCATTCCTCCTTCTATTTGACTGCCATATCTGACATTCTTGGCCGGCACGCAGTCCGAAAATATCTAGTTACATTTACCATATTCCCGGTCTCACACTCGTGCCGCTTCCTTAGCTCTTCTTTATGTTTCTGTCCAAATCGGTATGACAAATGTTTTTTGAAAACGCCACCAAACAAAAATATGTCCCCAGGTCGTATTTTTGTTTTGGCATCCGAAACTAGAAAGTTGTTCTTAAACTCAGAGTCTCGGTAGGCACGTCCATGCCACGTTTCTTTTCCATGTTCATCCGTTTAACTAGAGCAAACAAATTATTTGAAAAATCTCACCTTGAAATTTGGCCCCCGGGGCATTTATCTCCAAAGTCTGAATCATTTCAAACTCAGCATCCCAATAGATACTTGTGTATCAAGTTTCACCTTTATATCTCTGCTCAATTCGATAGGACAAAAAAGTATTTGGAAACGTCACCCACTCCTATGACATGCATCTGAAACTTTAAATTGTTCTTGAACTCTGTATCTCAATATTGTTCGTCCATGCCAATTTTTCAGCTTTCCAAGTCTCTCCATTTGATTGAAGCAAATATATATAAATCAAAACATATCCCCCCTGGGTGCCCCCAGGGTATGTAGCTCCAAAGTTGAATTTTTTCTGAACTCTAAAACCCAAAAG